GGGGTGCGGCTCCGGGGGTCGGGGGTCGTACCGTGATGGTCCAGGTGCAGTTGCTGCCGGGGGGGTAGTGCCGGGGGAAGCCCTCGCTGGCGATGAACCCCGACTCGCCGCGGTGGTCGCCCCCGCACGGGAACACCGGCCACACCGGCCTGCCGGGACACGGGGGTCGCGGGGGTCCCGGAACGGGGAAAACCCCAGAGCGGGGGTCCCGGAATGGGGGAAGACCCCAGCCCGGGGGTCCCGCACGGGGAAAACCCCAGAGCGGGGATCCCGGAACGGGGAAGACCCCAGCCCGGGGGTCCTGGAACGGGGGAACCCCCAGCGCGGGGGTCCCGGGTCCCGGTTCCGAGGGGGGCTCGGAGCGAGAGGCTCCCGCTGCCCGGGGCGGTCCCGGGCGAGGCTGTCCCGCCCCGTCCGCGGGGGTGGCGGTGCCGTCCCGGGTGCCACGTTCGGGGGGAGGTCCCGTCCCGTCCCGGGGGTCCCGGGGGTCCCGGTGCCGTTACCTGCTGGCGTTGGGGCGGGCGGGGGGCGGGGGGCTCGGCTCCTGGCCCGCGGCCCGGGGGGGGCTCAGCGCCCCCAGCAGCAGCAGCAGCGGCCCGAGGCGGCTCATGGCGAACGGCACCGGGGGCACCGGGGGCTACGGGGGCGGGAACGAGCGGGAAGGGGCGTGGCCAGGCGGCGACACGCCCCAAAGGGGGCGGGACTCTGTTCCAGCGCCGCTCTGCCTGCGTGGGAGGGCGGGGCTTTCTTTAACGCCACGCCCATCAATGGAAAGAGCCGGAGCTGAGCCCCGCCCCAATGGGCGTGGCCTGGAGCTGCCAGGCTGGAGTGGGCGGGGCCAGCAGCGAGGAGGCGCCAGAATGGGGGGGGGGCGCACAAATGAGACTCTTGTGTTTAATTAGCGGCATCGCCATTAATTAATTAGGGCCTCCCCCGTAAGAAGGGGCCCACAGACACACACACACACACACGCGGGGGGGACGGGCAGTGTGACAGCAGCTGGGGGCCCCCCGGGCGGGGAGACCCCCGATGGTGGGTGGGGGGCGTGATTGTCCATTTAGGGGAGGGGGCGTCCGCAGAACCCCGCAGCGCTACGGGACGGGGCCCCGCGCCTTGAGGTCGGGGGCCGAGCGCTGGCGGCGGACACGGGGAGGGGGCGGCGGCGACCCCCCATCCAGAGACCCCCTCCGGGCGGGGGGCGGCGGCGGGGGGCTGCGCTCGGTTTGGGGGGCGTCCCCCCCGCCGCCCCAAGCCAGGCGGTGCTGGGGGTTGCTCTTGAAGGGGAAGCGCAGCTTGCCGTCCTGGGGGGCCGGGTGGGAGCGCGGGGGGCGCCGGGGGGGCTGCAGGGGCTGCAGCCGCGCCTGCTCCTGGCGCAGCCAGCGCAGCCGCCCCCGGCGGAACGCGGGGTCCTGCTCCATCAGCCGGCACAGCCGCGCCGCCGCCGCCAGCGGGCTGCGGGCAGGGAGAGCCCAGGGTGGGGCTCTCTGGGGGGCTGCGGGCAGGGAGAGCCCAGGGTGGGGCTCTCTGGGGGGCTGCGGGCAGGGAGAGCCCAGGGTGGGGCTCTCTGGGGGGCTGCGGGCAGGGAGAGCCCAGGGTGGGGCTCTCTGGGGGGCTGCGGGCAGGGAGAGCCCAGGGTGGGGCTCTCTGGGGGGCTGCGGGCAGGGAGAGCCCAGGGTGGGGCTCTCTGGGGGGCTGCGGGCAGGGAGAGCCCAGGGTGGGGCTCTCTGGGGGGCTGCGGGCAGGGAGAGCCCAGGGTGGGGCTCTCTGGGGGGCTGCGGGCAGGGAGAGCCCAGGGTGGGGCTCTCTGGGGGGCTGCGGGCAGGGAGAGCCCAGGGTGGGGCTCTCTGGGGGGCTGCGGGCAGGGAGAGCCCAGGGTGGGGCTCTCTGGGGGGCTGCGGGCAGGGAGAGCCCAGGGTGGGGCTCTCTGGGGGGCTGCGGGCAGGGAGAGCCCAGGGTGGGGCTCTCTGGGGGGCTGCGGGCAGGGAGAGCCCAGGGTGGGGCTCTCTGGGGGGCTGCGGGCAGGGAGAGCCCAGGGTGGGGCTCTCTGGGGGGCTGCGGGCAGGGAGAGCCCAGGGTGGGGCTCTCTGGGGGGCTGCGGGCAGGCTGACCCCAGGGTGGGGCTCTCTGGGGGGCTGCGGGCAGGGAGAGCCCAGGGTGGGGCTCTCTGGGGGGCTGCGGGCAGGGAGAGCCCAGGGTGGGGCTCTCTGGGGCCATGCAGACCCTGTTCTTTGGGGCTCTCTGGGGTTCTCTGGGGAAGGCAGACCCCGCTTTTTGGGGTTCTTTGGGCTCTTCGGGGTTCCCTGGGGTTCTTTGGGGTTCTTTGGGCTCTCTGGGCTCTCCGGGGCTCTCTGGGGCTCTCTGGCTCTCTGGGGCAGGCAGACCCTGCTCTTTGGGGTTCTTTGGGGTTCTCTGGGCCCTCTGGTTCTCTCTGGCTCTCTCTGGGGCAGGCAGACCCTGCTCTTTGGGGTTCTTTGGGGTTCTCTGGGCCCTCTGGTTCTCTCTGGCTCTCTCTGGGGCAGGCAGACCCCGCTCTTTGGGGTTCTCTGGGGTTCTCTGGGGCTCTTTGGGGTTCTTTGGGGTTCTCAGGGGCTCTTTGGGGCTCCCTGGGGTTCTTTGGGGCTCTCTGGCTCTCTCTGGGGCAGGCAGACCCTGTTCTCTGGGGTTCTTTGGAACTCTCTGGGGTTCTCTGGGGTTCTCTGGGGTTCCCTGGGGTTCTCTGGGCTCTCCGGGGCTCTCTGTGCCCTCGGTGCCCCCCGGCCCCCGGTGCCCCCCAGCCACCCCGGGCCGCGCTCACCGGCGGCAGCGGGACGACGCGCTCCATCTGCCCCACGCGGTCGCGCAGGGCGCGGATCTGCTCGTCCTTGGCGCTGTTCTGCCGCTTCACCTCGCGCAGGATCCCCGCCAGCCGCTCCAGGTGCAGCCGCAGCCCCTCCACCTCGCTGGCCCGCTCCGCCGCGCTTCCTCCTCCTCCTCCTCCTCCTCCTCCGGCCTCGTCCTCCTCGCCGCCTCCCACGGCGTCCCACACGTCTCCGGCCACGGCTCTCCAGCCGTCGCGCTCGCCGGGCTGGCGCTTGCCGTGCCGGCGGCACAGCTCCCGCAGCCGCGCCAGGCTCAGCGCCTCCAGCTCGCGCCGCGCCGGCCGCCGCTCCCGCAGCGCCAGCTCCAGGCTCAGCTCCCGCACGGCCTGCGCCTTCAGGTCGGCCATGGTCACCCACGAGGATGATGATGATGGTGGCGGTGGTGGTGATGGCGGAGGGGAGCCGCGGCGGCGCTGCGGGATCTGGTAGACGCGCAGCGGCTCCCGGCGCTTGCCCGGCAGCGCCAGCCCGGCCCGGCGCAGCACCGAGCGCACGGCATGGTCACCCACGAGGATGATGATGATGGTGGTGATGGTGATGGCGGAGGGGAGCCGCGGCGGCGCTGCGGGATCTGGTAGACGCGCAGCGGCTCCCGGCGCTTGCCCGGCAGCGCCAGCCCGGCCCGGCGCAGCACCGAGCGCACGGCGGGC